CACACACACACACACACACACACACACACACACACACACACACACACACACACACACACACACACACACACACACACACACAATTGCAGTACATCATCATGTTCTTTGCAGTGTCGCTGTTCCTGTGCCAGTTCTTCCCCACCTTGGTTGTCACCACGTGGGCGCTGATGGGGGCTGCATATGTCCCCACGTTTGCGCGCACCCCGAGCGTGAATGGTCGTCGTATGCTCAAGTCTATTGTCGGCCACTGGGTTGTTGTTGAGCTCGAAAAGTACTTTCAACTTGCCATCTACAAGAACTTTGACGGTAAGTGCGTGCTTGTGCTGTTGTTTGTTTGTTTGTGCGTGCGTTTGTGCGTGCGTTTGTGCGTGCGTGTGTGTGTGTCTGTGTGTGTGTGTGTGTGTGTGTGTCTGTGTGCGTGTGTGTGTGTGTGTGTGTCTGTGTGTGTCTGTGTGTGTGTGTCTGTTCGTTGGTGACACTAGCAATTCAAATCTCACCATACTTGACACATGCCTCTACCTCCCCGCCCCGCCCTCCCCCCCCGCAGCACTCCCATCCGACTCCCGCTTCATAATCGGATACCATCCCCACGGCATTTTCCCGGCCGCGTGTTTGTACATGACCCGCACGCGCCAGTGGCAGCGCATGTTCCCGCATGTGCTCCCTGCCGTCCTGTCGTCAAGCATCGTGCACTATGTGCCCTTGTTTCGCGACGTGCTGCAGCTGCTGGGCGGATACGAGGTGTGTATGTGTATGTGTATGTGTGTGTGTCTGTGTGAGAGAGAGAGAGAGCGAGAGTTATGGAGATCCACAGACAGACAGACAGACAGACAGACAGACAGACGTCCACAACCTCACATACACACACAAACACACATACACGCGTATGGATGCGCATAAATGACTTTCTGTTCGTGCTCATGCGCATCACCGCTTGCAGGTGAGCCGAGGTGTGTTCATTTCGGCGCTGCGCAAGCACGACTCCGTGGTGTTGGTGCCCGGCGGACAAGTGGAGATGATTTCCTCTCGCTCGGATTCAAACAGCATCACCATCGACACGTCGCACCGTGGGTTTGTGAAGCTGGCACTGGAGCAGGCCGCAAGGAGCAACAAGCCCATCTACCTGCTGCCCACGTACGGCTTTAACGAGACGCGCACCCTCGACAATGTGCGCGCACCGCACGCCATGCAACGCTTTGTGACCAAAGCCCTCAAGGCAAACGTGATCTACCTCCCATATGGCCAGTTTGGCCTTCCCGGTTACCCGCGCACCGTCCCAGTGCGTCCCTTGCTCTATGCGTGCTTGTATCTGTGTTTAGGCATGTGTGTTTGTGTGGTTGTGTGTATATGTACATGTGTGATTGTGTGATTGTGCGCCTGTGTATCCCTGTTTGTGTGTGTGTGTCTGTGTCTGTGTATCTGTGTGTGTGTGATTGTGTGATTGTGCGCCTGTGTGTCTCTGTTTGTGTGTGCACCTTTGTCCTTGTGTCGTGTACACCATGCCCTGTGTCTGCAGGGCCAAGGTTTCACGCAGAACACCATCGCTCATGCATGACATCCTTGCCTACATGTGTGTGTGTGTGTTCGCCAGGTTTCCGTGGCCATTGGCGAGCCGGTCAAAGTTCCACCTGTTCACCATCCAACAAGAACACAAGTCGACCTCGTCTATCGCAGGTGCTTGCCATGCAAATGATGCATGCTTGCGCGCGCGTGTGTGTGTATGCATGTATGCATGTGTGTGTGTGTGTGCGTATGCAAGTGTGTGCACACGTGAACAAGCGCCTGCACACGTGAACAAGCGCCGAGGGCAGTGACAGATGTGCTTCGCTCATGCTGAACAACGGGGTGTTGCCGCATCAGGTACCTCGATTCGCTGCAGGCGGCGTTTGAGGCCTTTAAGCGCGATGCTGGTTGTGAAGATGACTCCCTCGTGTTCTCACCTCCCGAGCAAACACTCGACGGTGAGTATATTCGACCAGCTCTGTGTGTATGTATGTATGTGTGTGTGTGCGTGTGTGTGTGTGTGTGTGTGTGTGTGTGTACTGTGCTATGCTGTGCTATGCTGTGCTGTGCTGTCTTGCGTATCCATGTGTCTGGGAAGCTTATTGTGTGCGTGATGGTGCAACGACTCTGCATGTTGATTGGTTAACGATAACATGTTCGTTATCCGCTGTAACTTACGTGTTTATAACTGCACACACACATACACCTTCACCCACACCTTCACCCACCTTCACACACACCTTCACCCCCACACCTTCACCCACACACACACACACACGCACACACACACACACATACACTTCACACACACATACACTTCACACACACACACACATCCACATTCACCCACCCACACGCACACACACACACACACACATACACTTCACCCACCCACCCACACACACACACACACACACACACACACGCACACACACTCAAACACATAGCGGGTTCGTTTGAGGATGCGTGGGCAGCCGTCAAAGACGACAGCAATCCAACCCCGAAGAAGCACCACCCGCGACACAACGGCGTTGAAATGCTCATCATGGGATCCCTCCTCTCCTTCCTGTTCTGGACTATTGTGTGGACAGCGTACCATCAAAGACACAACTGAGGGTGTCAGTCAGCGGCAGCACTGAACGAAACAAATAAATGCACACAATCCTGCCACTTTCGTGTCATTGGCCATCACACTGCCGCTGTCATTGCGTTATGTATTGTCGAAGAGGAACCATCATGGTGTCACATTGTTACATTGCAACGAGCCGCTGTTGTACTGAGGCCTGCTCATCATCTTTGTTGACATGCACAATCTGCAAAAGCACCTGCTTGCTCATCGTTTGCCCTCCGTTGTTATTCGTTTGCCATCGTTTCAGTGCAGCATCGTAAACAAAACAAAACAATACATACACAGGCACCGTCGCTGAACAACATCACCAGTAACGACCACCACCCGCTTCGTTGGGGGGGGGGGTGGTTTCCGATTGCTACGCCCAATTTAATCGGTGTTGACACGTGCGTGTCCTGACTGCTTGCAACAACTCAACACCGTCCACCCTCTTCTCCGCTCCATTGTGATACGCATACCCACACAAATACAAAGTTCATATTGCCAAACTACTAGTAGCCAGTACGCGCCAATTACTACGCTATCCTCAACTTCGCTCCCGAGCACCTCATTCGCACCATGACACCACATCTTCATTCCTTTGCGGGCGCAATCCTCGAGTTCACAGTCTGCAGCGCCGCCCACCTGTCAACCAGACGCGCGCATACACACACACACACAGAACATGAGTATTCGACGCCAATCACCAAAAGATACGTCACTCTTCTGCCATGCACATCACCGTATTCGCTCAATCCGCGAAAAAAAGACACACACACACACAACACAATACAAACACAACACCCACGCGCACCAACACAACACAACACGCACACACACACACACACAATACGTACCTCTGTTCCCACATGCCGTCTCGGCCTGCGACTTGAGCGTTGTACGCCAAGCTGTACTTCAGCACGAGCTGTCATGCAATATCCCGCCAACGCAGGTTCGAAACGTTGTGAAATGAGTAAACATGGGAATCGTTTCAATCGTTGGCCCAATATTCCTCGCTCCACGCACATGCACACACGCGCGTGCACACACACGCACACGCACACACGCACACGCACAGCCAACCTTGCGAATGTAGTTTGCGACACCGCTGTTGCGGACCATGGTCGGCTTCTGCGGGGTGAGGGTGGCCTGGATCCTGCGATCCGTCTCCTCAACCCACACGCGATACGCATCCACGCTCAGCGGCTGCACAGAGGAATCAAGCAGGCACCAGGAAAAAAAAGAAGATGAGCCAGTGTACACAATTCCACGAGCCACGCACCAAACCGTGGTCACTTCACAAGTCACTTTCACGCCACTCTCTTCCACCACATCTGCACACCTGCACGATGATCATGACGGGGATGGGCTCGTTGTTCCTCGTCACGTCGTCAGGAAGGCCCTCCCAATCGCCATCGCAGTACCTAACCAGGACATAGCACAACAACAAAGAACACGGTGAGCCACACTGGTTTCACAAGCGTAAGGGTTGCCGGCAAAACAGGAAAATACAAATGCATACGCGCACACGCACACACGCGCACGCACACACACGCACATACACACACACACACACACACATGAAACACACACACACATGAAACACACACACACATGCGCACGCACGCACACACAAAAACATACAGGATGCAGATGGGCGTCTTGAGGATTGGATGCTGCTTGCGTGGGCCAGACTCAATGACCAGGGGGTGGTGCACATGGAAGTTCAGCTGCACAAGCTCCGCCTGTATGCAACAAAACGGTACAATGCAAGCAACGATGAGTGAAGAAAGAGGGGCACACAACAAACTAACACGCAAAACAAACAAACAAACAAACAAACAAAGTGAAAACAAACAAAACCATGGCCAATGCGTCACGCACCTGCCAGATGATGAGGTCTGGAGCAGGGGGCTGGCGCACGAGCGCACACTCCTGCTCAACAATCGCAGCACGAAAGCAAACCAGGAGTGAGTCAACAAAACAGGTTGTAAGTTAGTCCACGCACACGTATTCACTCAAACACACACATACACACTTTTTCACACGCATGCTGCGTATCCTCCCCCCCCCCTCTCCCAACATCTGTGCCTCCGGCTCTCCACGCGAAAGCAAAGCAACGCACCCCAAGGGCTCTGAGGAAGGCCGAGTATCTGCTGGGGGTGATGAGGCCCGCGTCGAGCACAATGTCGTCAAAGTCCGGCTTCCCCTCCACCAGCGGAAGAAACAGGATGCTCACGTCGTGGATGTTCTCAAAGTACGCCCGCTGCTCAAACGCCGTTGCCAGCGGCGGCGGCGAGCGGACGCGGCGCGTGCTCAAGCCAAAGATGGCCCGCATCGCCATCAGCATGGCAGAGTCAAACGCCGTCTCGCCAACCTCAGACTGCGGGTACGGCTCGATCGTCGCCACCTGCTTCGAGTCGTCAGCAACAACCGTATCCACGCTCGTGTTGGGGTCCTCCGCGCCAACGCCACCATCCTCCACGCCGTCGCCACTGCGCAAGCCATTGCTCTTGGTGCTGGTTGCGGTATTGTCAGTGGTGGTGGTGGTGGTGGTGGCCGTGGAAGCGTTTGCTGATTCGTCGACGGGTGGCAGCATCATTGGCGTCGGCGTGGCCCTGCGCTCGCCTTCCTCATCGCCTCCGTGTCGACTGCACACCCCGCTGCTGGTGCCGCTCACGCTGTTCCTGCTGCTCGGCACCAAGCTGTTGTGCCGTGTCGTGTTGCTGCTGCTGTTCGCGCTGCTGCCCTTGTTGGCGGACGCGCCGTCCGACCCCTGCTCCTCCTCATACCACTCGCACGCCACCAGCCGCTGGATGTCCAGGTACTCGTGCAGCTGCTTTGACAGCGGGTGCGGCAGGATGGCTGACACGTCGTAGCCTTCAAGCGCCGCCTGCCGCAGGCAGTCCACCTCCCACTGCAGCAGCTCCTTGGGCATCGCTGCCGGCCGCACAGAGCGCGTGTCGTGTGGCAGCGGTCCGTTGGTGATCAGGCCCATCGAGTGCCACGACGCACCACCGCCCTCGCCGTCACCGCTCCCATGCACCGCACTGTACGCCGTGGCAGTGCTGCTGCTGGTGGTGGTGGCGGCGGTGCCGGGCTTGCCCGGGGACGCGGAGGAAGGAGAAGCAGGCGTGTTTGCTCCTGTCGTCGTGGTCGTGCCCGTGGTCGTAGCAGCGGTGATGGTAGTGGTGGTCGTCGTTGCAGTCACAGCAGCGGCCACATGCCCGTTGCTGGCGCTCACCGACGAGGTGGCAAGAGCCGCCAGAGTGGTGGCAGTGGTGGTGCTGGTGCTGGTGCTGGCGACGACGGTACCTGCTGCTGTCGCGGAAGGCGACGTGAGAGTGTCATCTGGTGGCGGCGTGGTGACAATGGCCGGTACTGGCTGCTTGCCCTTCGTCTGCTGATGCTGATGCTTGCCTTGTGCTGCGCCTAGAGGTGAGACTGCACCTCGAGTACCGCCAGAGCCGTCATCACCGCTGCATGCAGTCTGCTGCTGTTGCTGCTTCGTTGATGATGCCTTCTTGCGTTCCAGCTCCTCTGTGCTGCGTGCCCGTCTGAACGTGTTCCTGAACAGGCTGCTCATGCTGCCACTGCGGGTCTTGCTTTCCCTGAGAATGGCCGCTGCACGCGTCTTGCTGCTCGCCGACGACAGCGACCGCGCCACCACGCCATCACGGCTGGTGCTGTCCCCACCATCGCCGTCCGCGGGCACGGGCGTTGCGTCGCGGGGTGGGGCGCGCAGGAACGGCGGCTCAGAGGCGTCGCTCGCCTCGTGCGCGACCTGCAGCAGCGGCCACAGGTTGAGCGTGAACCACTCGCTCAGCGTAGGCGTAAACACCTCAAACAGGCACAGGGCGGACGGGTTGACGCGGGCAGCAATGAGCATGCCGCGGCGGCAGAAGAACGCCACTTTTGTGCCGTGCTGCTCCTGGAAAAACTGCCGGGGCGCAAGCGGGAACGGCTGTCGTAATGTTGATGGTGGTGGTGGTAAGAGAAGGGACGTGGTGTTATGTGAATCAAGCGTCACCATGAACACGAGGGTGATTGAGAGGCCATTGCGATGATGACGAATAAACTCGTGCCTTGCCTTCAACACCCAGTTGCTTGCGTCACACACACACACACACACACACACACACACACACACATAGACACACAAAACACATGCAAGTTCACATTCACCCTGACCATGTCCAGGAGCTCGCGGCCGCCGTGTCTGTCTACGGTTCTGTTTGCGTAGCGCTTGAGCAAGTCGAGCAGCACGCCGCGCCGCTGGTCCAGCATGCGCTGCTGCGCCGGCGTCGTCGCCTTCTTCTTCGCCGCCTGGTGGAACTGGAGAATGGCTGCTCACAAGGAACACACCGCACCAGCAGGCACAACAGTTGGAATAACAGCAAAACACAAAATGCAGAGGAGATAAGCGGTAAGGAACGGTCGTGTCAACAGCGCACGCATTGGCCATGCACGCGACTGCCACAGGTCAAACAAGGGTCCAGGATCGTGAAGCAAGCAACGTGTTGTTGTGCACACACGCACACACACACGCACACACACGTGTACACGCACACGCACACGCACACATACACCGAACCGCACCTCGCTCAAGCTCTGGTCGGTACTTCTTGCGGTCCTTGAGGGTCAACTTGACAAAGTACAGCGTGAGCACACGCATAGCCAGTGCGTTTGCGTAACCAGTCGTTTGCCTGCCAAATCCAACGCAAATGCAGTGCAAGCGCACGCGCAATTCGCAATGCTTGTGAGAGAAGCAAACTTGTCACGGGCAAAACATGCATACGCAGTGCACACATGAAACGAAGACCGCGCGTAGAAGGGTCAATGGAGGAATGATTGGGCTTACACAGGCTCCTCTGCGGAGGACAAAGCCGTCACGTCGTTGAGCGGAAGGTACGCAAAGCAGCCCTCCACCAGGCGATTCAGCACCTGAAGGCGACATGGATGACATGCCAAGTAGTGAGCACAGGGACAACAGCTTATTCACAGCCACACACACACACACACACACACACACACACACACACACACACACACACACACACACACACACACACACACGCACAAACAAACAAACAAACAAACAAACAAACAAACAAACAAACAAACAGACAGACAAACAAGACGCGCACCAGCGAGAGTCGGATGATGTTCTTGTGCTTGTCCAGGATCTTCAGGATTCCTGGAATGGCAATGACAGCAAGCAACAACTCTGACAGGCAGACGCACACCAACCGACAGGCAGCGGTGAGACAGTGGTGGTGACAGACAGCAAGCCAAGGCAACGCAGTCTCTGTGGAACCATTTGCACGTTTAACGAGCATGTGGTGTACTCTTTACCGAGCTTGACGAGCCAGCGACGCGGATTTTCCTGTCCATACGGAAACTTGTGCAATACCTGCGGCATTCCGAATACAATGCGTCATTGCAGAGCACACGCGTGTTACAACGGGTACAGGCACCGATACACAGTACACGGGCCGTGAAACAGAGAGCAAGGTCGCCTGCACACGCACGCAAACACACGTGCATACACACACAGATGGACACATGTGTGCCTGCAAGATATGGATAGAGGGTACTGCACCTCGCTGATGGAGCCCGACATTTCGTCGGGGTAGTTGTGCAGCAGAGACATGATTGTGGCCGTCGTCCAATGGGGATGCACAGCGATGATGTCATTCTCACACAACCTGCAGCAAGCAGCAATTGCAACAACAGCAGTTGCAGTTAAGCCTTATGCGTGTACTATCACGCATGAGCGGGTGATACAAGACCACATCACGCGCACCCACACACACGCGCGCACTCACACATACTCAGACACACACACACACACACACAGGCACACAAACACACACACACACACATACACACACACACACCGCTTTGTGTATTCGTTGCTTGGGCCGTTGAAGTTGAGCATAAAGCCGAGAAAGAGGAAGAGGTCGTGCAGGACGGGCTCGCAGGCGGAGACGGCCACGTCTGGAAAGTACTTGTCCCGCGAGTAGCCGAGCCGCGAGATGCACTGGATCACGGCTGGGATGCTCTTCTTGATGGCTGCAGAGGACACAAAGTCCTGGAAGCGCCAGCACGACATGAGCGTGTACAGCGAGGCCACAATCCACTGCAGAATGAAAAAGGGCACCCGGCGGCCCAGGCCTTTGACAAGCTCTGGGATCAGCTTCTCAATCTTCGCCCGCAGCTCTGCAATCACGCCATTCCCGAGCCCGCTGCAGGGAGTGGTGAAAAGGGTCGGTAGAAGAGAGGCAAGGGAAGAGAAGCAGCAAAGCAAGGCGGGGAAGACAGAACAACGTGAGGAGGATGAGGGTGAGAATGTGCACATCGCATAGCACGAGCGGCTGGAGCACATGACAGGAGCAGCTGGAGCGTGCGCATCGAGGACACGAAAAAAATGCTCACTTTCACTGTCATCACCCATTGCCACCAAGACCACTGCCACTGTCAACAACAACAACAACAACAACAACAACAACAACAACAACAACAACAACAACAACAACAACAACAACAACAACAACAACAACAACAACAACAACAACAACAACAACAACAACGACAACGACAACGACGACGACTGCACCTTGATGGAGCCATGTAGAGGTTTGACTTGACGGCTGCGGCCTCTACGCGCGAGTTGTGGCGGAACCGGCGATATGGCGTCTGCTTTCCCATCCCAAACTGCGACACGGAGCCCGCACGCGAGCGTGTTCGCGAACTTGCCCGCCCCTGTGCACGGGCATACGCGCGCGCCTGCGCCTCGTTCGCCACGCTGCCGGCCCGCGCAGAGACATATGGCGCATGCTGGCTTGGCGTTGTTGACGATGACGACGGTGATGGCGACGGTACGTCGAGCGGGGAGAGAAGATCAGGCTCGGCACGCGACGGCGGCATCGATGACGACGGCGACCAACCGGGCATGACAATGCTCGTGCTGCTGCTGCCGCCGCCGCCGCCACCACCACCACCACCACCAAAGCCCAGGCCCGTGCCGCTGTTGCCGCTGCTGGCAAGGGCTCCGCTGCCAAACATGTCGTCGTCGTTGTCGGCATCCTTGAGACGCGGGGACGCGGACCGGCCCTTGTTGAGCGGGACCGGGGTGCCAGCCTCCGTCAGCGACTGCAGCGCCGCAACTGTCGTGATGAGCTGCCGCCCAAACGCAGACGTCTTCTTGTCATGCCGCTGCACAGCACTCGCCGTGCCACTCGCGCTCGCGCCCGTGCCATCGACGCTGCTGCCGGCGTTGGTGGTGGTGTTGCTGCTGTTGCTGTTGCCTGCAACGTGGCCCTGCGGCGTGTTCCGGCCATCGCGGGTGCTGGCCCCGCTCGAGGACATGCCGCCGCCGCCATCCCCGGCACCGTCACCACCATGGTCGCTGCCGGGGAGGTGCACGCTGGCCGATGACAATGCACGGGTGCTCATGGCACGCGTGGAGCGCGGGGTGACGCAGAAGAGGCTGTCGTTGAAGGTGTCGAGGTCCATCATGTCGTGCATGTCAATGGCGTCCCGAGCGCCCGGCCCACTCCCGCTCGTCACCTCAGACACCTGCAGATACACACAAAACTTCTTCGTCCACGACAGCATCGACACAATCTTGAACGCAGGCTGTCGGCAGTTACGCGTGCGTGGTTGCATGTAATTGTTGTGGTTGTGCGGTGGTTGTGTGGTGTCGTGTAATTGTTAGTTGGTTGTCGTTGTTTTTGCATGTGTGTAGACATGTGAGCGTGAGGCTTCGTTGCGCTCATTCGCAATCTGGCAGGACATGGGCAGAACAGACACAATCAAGCAAGAGTACACAGACATACACAAGTGGCATTTCAGGAGCCAGATGTGTGCTTGCTCATACCGACCTGAATGATGCGCAACGTGTGCTGGAGGTACTCGCTGATGGGCGGTAGCTGCTTGTGCTCTGAAACCAGTCATCAAGAGTAGATATTTACACGTGACTCGCTTTGTGAGCCACAAACATCAAACGCACTCCTTGCGCATCGGGTCAAACACCACACACACACACAACACACACACACACAACACACACACACATACACACACACGCTGGCACGCCACTGGCTGACCTGTGTGGCGCTCGAGGGTGGGGGACTTGTCCGAGATGAAGCTGATCTCCTTGAGCGTGGTGAGCACGGCGTCAATCACCGCCACCAGCACGTCGTGCGCCGGGTTGGCTGTGGGCGACTCGGGCGTGTACGCCATCATTGCAGGCAGCAGCGCCTGCACCTTGTGCAGAAAGTGCGGGTACGCCCGCAGCGTCTCCGTCTTGGACTCCATAAACGACAGGCCCGGCTTTGGCTTCTTGGCCTCCCGGAGCATGTCGAGGTACTCGCTGTGGAACTCGTCCTGCAGGGAGCACACGATGCTGCCGACCGTGGGCAGCGCCTCTCGGTGCAGCGTCACCGTGAAAAACTCGAGCGCAACGCGAATGTCGTCCAGGCGGCTTGCTATCGACAGCGGGCCAAGCAGCTCGCACGCAGCTGCACGTCGAGGGCGAGCGATGGCATGATGGGGGGGGTGGTGGTGGTGGTAGCGTTAGGTGATGTGGGATGGGGATGACAGTGGGTGAGGGGAGGGAGATGATGGCGGTTGCGAAGGACAGCGATGGGTGGCAAGATCGGCAAAGCAAAGGAACACACGCAAATATCCGAGGAAAAGAGTGAATCAGAACGGCAGAGCCATCAGACCACACACACACGAAGTAACGGCGTGTCACACCTTTGAAAAAGTACGTCTGCATGAATGGAAACGAGTACGAGAGGTGCGCCAGTAGCCGCAGTTTGTCCCGCAGGGTCGCCTTCTTCTTCGGCCTGGAACCGCACGCACACACACACACACACAAAGAGCACACAGCATTCTTCGTGAGCGTGTGGTTGCCAAGCGTGATTGCCAGGAAGAAGATAAAGGAACCGCCAGAACAACACAACAAGAGAAGGGAAAGGGAACATGTGCGGTCTTCACATTACACTTCAGCCCCCTCCCCCCCCCCCCCTCTTTCACTTGCAATCACGTAGCTCGCCCTGTTTCATCCCTTCCCTTCCCTTCCCCCGCCCCACCAGTCCAAGCATCCTCATCTCGATATCTCCGTATCTCCGTGTCTGGAACCCCCCACTCCCCTCCCCGTACCAGCGAAGGAAGGCGTCGAGGTTGTCGCGCCAGTGTGGGTGTGTTGGCACGCACACGGCATAAGTGATGTCCTTGCTGCGCTCCTGAAAGTCTGCAAAGTCGTCCATGCCGCCAAGATACAGGTCCTGCACCAGCGCAAAGTACAGAAACCCGTACATCGCATCCCCCTTGATCCACAGCAGTGGCAGTGGCGGACGTTTGGGGGCGGGGGGTGTCGTTGGTGTGTTTGCACACATTTTTGGCGACCGTGGTGGTGAGGACAGGGAGCATTGCACAACACGAGGTGTTTGGGGAGCATTGCACAAACACGAGGTCTACAAGAACACACACACACACACACACACACACACACACACACACACACACACACACACACACACACACACACACACACACACAACAAACACACACACACACACACAAAGAGCACGAAGCAGCATGCTTACCAGGTGGGCGAGGTGGTCCTTAGTTCCCTCGTACAGGGCGTGCAGGGCGTGCCAGCCCTTCTCGTCGAGCTGTGCAGGGTGCAGCATGCCACGACACCGCCCCCGCCGGTCCACGTCACCACGGCTGTACCCACCCGCCGTGGCAGCAGTGGTGGTGGTGGTGGTGCTGCTGCTGCTGCTGCGAGCGTGCACGTGGTCACCATCGGCATCAAAGTCCGGGTCCATCAGCAAACACTGTAGCAAAAGCGCTCGCACGCGCTCAGGGGCGCGTGTAAACGATTGCAGCACAGCCGTCACCTCCGCACACATGCACCAGTGCACGGAGCCGGCGTTGTCACTGCCATCGCCATCGCCATCGCCGCCACTGCCGGCACCACCACCGTTCCGCTCGCGGGTCATGCCGTCGTGGGCGTCACCAGCGTCGCCGTCTTCGTTGTCGCTCGCGGCGCCAAACCATGCGTCCGTGGCGGTGCGGTCAAGACTGGTGCAGGGGTCGTAGCACGTGGTGTCCTCTGCCAGCCCGAGCGATCCGCCGTACACACTGGCAACAGCAGAGACTCCGGGCAGGGCCGTGACTGCTGCTGCGTCTGCTGTCGCGTCATCGCCAGTGCCACCGCGAGCGCCCGCTGGCCCGCCCTGCGACGGTGTCCTGTTTGGTGCTGTTGACGACGACGCTGAAGACGAGCCCGGTGATGTGGTTCCCATTGCCGTCCCTGCTGCTGTTGACGGCCCCGTGCTGGTGCGTGATGAGCGTGCTGTTGCCGCACGCGACCGCGGCAGGGACGATGACAGCGCCGCAGCCAGCGCTGATGTTGACGACGACGACGATGACGCTGACGCTGATGCTGATGCAGGGGCTGCCGAGGCGTGGAAGCGAGCTGCTGATGGAGAGACGAAGCGGAGCGTGTACTCGAGGTGCAGGGCGTCCACCATGAGCGCCATTGTCTCGTGCATCAGCCGCTTGTTGCTCCCCGATACATTCCGCACAGCAGCACGCACCTCCCTGGCAAGCATGGCAACCATGATGACGATAAATGATGAATGGTGGTGATGGTGGTGGTTATATGTTGTGCGAGGCGGCAAGCAGCGACAGTGGTGTTGGGCTCAAGCACAGCAGCAAGAAGAGGGTCATCACGCACATGCAATCGCAAACGCGCGCATACACGCACGCGCGCACAGCATCTCACCGGAAGCACTCGCGACGGCGGACGTCCCAGTAGTCGAGACGCGCCAGCTGCACCAGACACATGCACATGCCCTCCGTACGCTCGTGGCAGTAGCTGCATACATAACACACAGCATCAAGCTGGTGAGCGAAGCACGCGCTCAAAACTGACACATTCTCACGAGCAAAGGCACACACATACACACACACACACACACGCACGCACGCACGCACGCACGCACGCACACACACACACACACACACACGCACACACACACACGCACACACACGCACGCACACATACACACATACACACATACACACATACACGCACACACACATACACGCACGCGCGCGAACACACATACACATACACACATACACACATACACACATACACACGCACACACACACGCACGCACATACACACATACACTCTCTCGACAAAACAAAAAGCCACGCACTCGAGAATGGTCCTGGTAATGTCGATGAGGGTTTGGAGGGAGAGGCTGGGAATGCACTTGGAGATGACGACAAACCACTCCCCGCGCAGCATGAGCGCATCCATGTTCTGCAGGGTGACGACGACGACAGCCTCCGTGTGGCCATGTGAGTTGATCGACAGGAGCATGGGTAGCGCCGTATCGACAAGGGACACGAGGTTCTCCTCGGAGTCGCGCCTGAGCTCCTCATCCGTGATGTCCACCAGGCCATGGAACGCTGCCTTGAGAAACTCAACCACCTCCCGGGAGAACGTCACCACAAGCTCTGGTCGATGCTCCGTGACAAACACCACATATGGAAGGATGAGGTGCAGGGGCTCCTCACCGCAGCTGCGCAGCAGTTCGAGGAACAGCGAGTGCAGCCTGGTCTGCGACAGATGCTCGACAGAGGCGTGGTGTGCTTCCTTGGCGGATGTCGACGACGGGTGCACGATGCGGTCGACAAAGGTACGCTTCTTCTCAGCGACCGTGGTTGCAGGCTTGCTGAGGTCATCTGTCACTGGCACGAGTGGCCCCATCGGCGGCAGCAGCTCGCGCGCGCACCTGTCGACAAGGGACTCCTGGCGCCCTGACGACCCCGCTTTGGCGGCTTTAGCTGCTTTGGCTGATCTAGCACCTGTGGCTGTTGCTGCTCGATGGTCCCTGGTTCTGTGGTACTCTTGGGATCCGCGGCGGCCTTGTCGACGCGATGGAGATGGCGACCCGCCGTTGGCATCTCGGCGTGGGCTGCGGAACGCCTGTCGAAGCCGCTGGAACGTCGATTGTGGCGAAACCTGTTCTTCCTCCTGCTCCTGTTCTCTGTGCTGCTGCTGTTGACGGCGGGGACTGCCGTCGCTGCGTCGGCTCATTGTTGCCACGCAGCAGCGAAAACGTGGCGCGGTGCTGTGATCCTATGCGAGAAATGAGGAAGAGCAAAGACCGTGGATGGTTGGTTGGCCGGTGTGGTGATGATGATGATGATGTGTGTGTGTGTGAGTGTGAGAGTGAATGAACGCACGTCGTCGCTGCTGTGAGTGTGCGTGTGTTGGTGAATGAGCGTGCAGGTGAGCGTTTTCCCTTCCTTCCTTTCCTTCTTTCCTCTCACGTTTGCGGCGCAAGTCCGGGTGTGAATATTCGCAATATCTTTTATACTTTTCCACAACCAGCCAATTGTCTTGTCGATCGACTGAACGCCACGACACTGCTGACCGCCACCGCTGACCGCCACAGCTAACCGCTAACCCCCGCTCCCCATCCCCCCCTCCCACACACACACATCACAAACACCCCCATCATCATGTCGTTGTGCAAGCCTGGAGTGCTGATGGGCATCCTTGCGGTGCTGCTGTACCTGCTGTTTGTGTTTCCTGTCAAGTACTTCCCCGTGCATGACAGCGGGGCCATCTTGATCACTGGCACATCCACGGGCATTGGGCGCCATGCGGCTGTGGAGCTGGCCAAGAAAGGGTACACCGTGTACGCCACCGTCCGCAAGCAGGCCGACGTCGACAGCCTGAAGAAAGAGGGCGTCAACACGCTGATCCCCATCGTCATGGACGTGACGAAGCCCGATCAGATCGCCAGCGCCGTCGACACCATCAAGAAGGGCGGCCACAAGCTCATCGGCCTCGTCAACAACGCCGGCATCTCCGCGCGCGTCCCCTTGGAGGCCCACGATCTCGACCGCATCCGCTCCATGTTCGAGGTGAATGTCTTTGGCGTCGTCTCCGTGACCCAGGCGTTCCTGCCCATGATCCGCGAGAACAAAGGTCGCATCGTCAACGTCGGCTCCCTGGCCGGTTTCATTGCCATGCCGGGCTCAGCCAGCTACAGCGCCACCAAGTTTGGCCTGGAGGGCCTGAACGACGCCCTCCGCCGCGAGATGGCCCCCTTTGGCGTCAGCGTGTCCATTGTTGAGCCGGCATACGTCTCAACCGCCATTGCCTCCAAGTCCACGGGCGAGGCCGCCGCCACGCGCTGGGTCTCGCGGGAGATGCAGGACACGTACGCGTGGTTCTTCGCCGACTTTGAGGAGAAGCGTCTCAAGGGCGAGGCGCTTGCCGATGGGCCCGAGGTCACCACCAAGGCCATCACACACGCGCTCACGAGCCGCACCCCGGAGACGCGCTACATCGTCGCCAACACGTACGGCATCCCCGCCAAGATTGCCGCCCTGATCAACTGGCTTCTGCCGGATCGCCTGGGCGACATTGTGCTTGCCAACGACGCGTCCATCAGCGGCGCCGCCTCCAAGACCGCCAAGGGCACCAACTAGAGCAGCACAGGCAGGCAGCCGGGCAGCCAGGCACCGCAAGCAACCAGGCAGACCTGTGCGCAGGCACAGGCTCATTGCAAGCCAGCTATGTCGACTGTTGTTGATATCACCATCATACACCCTGTTCACAAGCTGTCTGGGCGCTCTGTGTATGTGTCTGAGCTGCTTGTGTGCTTCTGCTGCGTTGTGTGCATGTGGGTTGTACCTTGCTTTGTGCATTTATCCAGGCCACGTCTCTACCAATGTGTGTGGAAGTTGCGTGCATGTGTGCACGTGTGCACGTGTATGTGTCGTGGGTGGAGCTGTTGTACACGTGTATGTGCCGTGTGCGTGCTGTTACGTCTTGCGCTCCAATCATCTGTGTATGCTGTATCCACTCTGCTTTGTTTGTTTTGTTTGTGTGTTCTACTGCACTGTTGCTGCCTTGCCCTCTCCGTACCCCTCGCACGTCGTTGTACCATTGATTACATTTTCACCAAGAGTACACTCGCCATCTTACGTCATCAAACAACAGGCACGCACGTACACACACACACACACACACACACACGCACACACACACACACACACACACACAAAGTCAGTTTTGCACAACATACACGCCCTCACCCACCATCATCTCTACCATCACAGTCACTACACCATGGTCATCGAAGCCGAGCCTGTGCAGCCTTGAGCCGATCGATGATGGCAGTGAACGAGGGGCGTGCTTTTGGATCCTCGCTCCAACACTCCCGCAGCAGCTGAGCCAACGCGCCAGGACACGCACTGCCGTCACGACCGGCACCACCACTAACACTGCCGCCGCCATCACCGCCATCACCGCCATCACTACCGCTGTCGCCCAGGTCTGGTCGCTGGCCACTGAGCACGGCCTTGCGAATGTCCCACGAGTGTCTCAAGTGCACAAACGGTAACCGCAACGTGACCACCTCCGACCCGAGAATGCCAAACGAATACACGTCCACGGCAGATGTGTATGGCTGGCCAAGCAACAGCTCTGGTGCGCTCCACTGCAGCGTACCCGTGCCTGTTGTCTGCAACGCAGCAAATTCCGTCGAAACAACACTGCTACTGCGCTGCTTCTCTTCATTTGCCATCGTCACCCCGCCCCAACTGCTGCTGTTGCTGTTACTATTGTTGTTGCTGTGAGGAATGTGTTGCTCGCCACCGCCATACACGCCACCAGCACCGCCCACCGCGGTGGCGGTGCTGGTTGCAGCCTGCTGCATGCGGCGCAGGAGCGTTGCGGTTCCAAAGTCCGCAATGAGGCACGTCCAGTCCTCCGCCACCAGCACGTTCATGCTCTTGAGATCGCGGTGGATGCGAGGCGGCCGCAGCGAGTGCAGATAAGCCATCCCCTCTGCCGTGTCAATCAAAAACTGATACCGCTGACGCCACGACAGCCTGTCCTGGCTGCTGCTGCCGTTACCACCGTTGCCGCTGCTGTCGTTGCTGCTGTTATCACCGCCATGCACATGGCCGTCTCCACTCGCACTGGCAATGACATTCCACCCACGATCAAGGCTGCCCGTGCGCCCATCGATACCTCGTCCTGCCCCTCCTCCTTCCCCAACTGCTGCTGCTGCTGCTGCTGCTGCTGCAAGTACGCTGTGCAGGGAGCCGCGTGGGCAGTATTCCATGACCAGGAACGGCTGCTGCTCGAACATGCCCGCACCGTAGAACAGCACAATGTTCTTGTGGCGCAGGCCCCGCATCACGCGCACCTCACGCTCAAACATGTCGATCATGCTTTCGTCCATCTCCACCAGCGCGGCCTTGAGCCGCTTCACCGCCACCACCTGGTTCTTGTACTGCCCCTTCCACACATCGCCCGTCGCCCCAGGGCAGTCCTTGTCCAACGCCTCCATCAGCACAAGCTCCGTCGGGTCAATCACAAACACGCGCGCAAGCTCCTGTAGCTCCATGTCCTTCTCCCGCAGCTGGTCTGTGGCGTGCGACAGAAGCTTCTCTTTCAGCTCCGCCGTGTGCCGCGCCCGCCGCTGTCGCCGCGCCAGCCACACCACCAGCGCAACCGTGCCCAGCCCAAAGAACAGGCCAAGCGAGACATACAGTGGGATGATGAGCTGACACCGCTCGCCAGAGTACCCGGCGCGGCAGTGGCACTTGGGCGCCCTGTTCTCAATCACGCACGTGTGGCCAAAGCGGCAGTAGCCGGGCACACAAACGTCGCAGGTCTTGCTGCCTGCCTCCTCCGTCGTCGTGCCCTCAGGGCAGCGCTGGCACGTGGGCTCGTCGTGGTCAAAGTAAGTGCCAATGGGACACACGTGGCACGTGCCATTGAGGAAGGTGGTGCCCGCTGGCAGCCCTTGCAGGTCGTTGCATGCAGGACGCAGCCGCAGCGTGGATTCAAACAGGTCAAACACCCCCAGCCCGCCATGCGCCAGCAGCAAGTCATCGTGCATCACGCACGCCGCACCCCAGCGAAGCACGTGGTAGTCCTTCAGCGCGTTGTCGCCAGCATGCAGCTTGAGCTCCGTGAAAGCGTGTTGTACTGCATCGTACTCCCACAGGTCCCCATATGGGGTGTTGTTGCGTCCGCCAAAGATGAGCCACTTCGAGTCAGAAGCGCGCAGCGAGCACCCGCGGTACCGCGCTGGTGGCACGCGGGTCAGCACACGTGCGTGTGTGGGCGATGCTTGCCGTGTTTGCCCTGCTTCTTTGCCACCATGGTGGCCAGCTTTGGATGGCTGTGCATCTGTGCCTGCACTTGCTGCTCTCTGTGCGCTGTCCCCACTGTCGCCACTGCTGTTGCTGCCACTGGTGCTGCTACTGGTGCTGCTTATGTTGGTGTTTGGGTAGCCTGCATACAGCTGGCTCCACTTGCCCTCCGCTACGCTGTACTCCCACACATCGCCAAGGGTGCGCTGGCCTGGGGCAAGCTGGACTGCCAGCCCGCCAAACAGCGTCACTATCTCGCCGTCCCCACTGAACAGAAACGCATCCTGTCGTGGCAGCGGGCGATGTGTGTCACCATCATCGCCATCACCACCACCAACATCTCCACCTCCACTGACGATACCACCTGCTGCAGTATCACCATCACCGCCACCAGTACTCGTGCTGTTGTCCCCTGCCCTGCTCGTTGGCACCTCACCGCCTCCGTCCACCATTGTCAGCAGCAATTCTGGCATGGCCACTGCCCCTGCAGACGATGACGACGGTGCTGGTGTCGGTGATGACGGCTTTGGGTTGGGCCGGTAATCAAGCTGGTAAAGGTTGTTGCTGGTGCTGTCACGACAGGCGCCGCCAAACAGGAAGCACCGCGTGTGCTCGGGGGTGGCGATGGGGCACGAGTACGCCATGCCGCCAGCGCCGGCCCACGCCGGTTGGTTCCCCGGTGTTGAGATCCCCACGCGCGTGGCGTTGAACGCGTGCGTCTCCCTGGACATGTCCACCCACAGCAGCCACGCGTCGGCGTGGCAGTTGAGGGCTGCGTCCCAGCCGCCCAGCACCAGGCGGTGGCCGTCTCCCAGCGGCAGCATGGCGTGGCCGTAGCGCGGGGGAATGTTCTTGGGGGTCCACACGTACCGCCACTCCGCCACACCCCCTTCGAGTGGGCCCAGTGTCCACAGGTACGAGGTGACACGGCCAAGAATGCCGCCAAACGTGAACATGCCTGTGCCCACGGAGGGCGTGCTTGCCGTGTGCCCCCTGCGCGGGAAGGGCCGCTTGAACACGAGCTCCGGGTGCCACTGCAGATACGGCTTGTCGTTTCGCCAAAAGGGGCTGTACTGCCACAGAATGGCGCCCGTGCCGGAGAACTGGTCTTGCATCAGGCCGACTGCAAACCCAAACCCGCGCTCGCTCGGGCTGGCAAAGGCAAAAGACCCCGGTGCCACGTCGAGGTGCCCAAAGGAGACTGGCCAGAACCGCTCGGCCATGACATCGCTGGCCACCGTCGTCGTGAAATTGTCGCGCGGGCGGAACGCGAGCGAGGCAAGCGTGCCGTGCGCAAGCTCCGTGGTGGCTGCGCCGAGGAAGAAGAACGAATCCTCCACGGAAATGACCGCAAACCGCGCCTCAAACTGCAACCACTTGTACTCGTTTGCACACATGTCGTTGCTCCACACACGCTGCACATCCCCCGCGCGCGCGGTGTAGTCGATGTCGATGCGGTACAGGTCGCAGTTTGCCTCGCTGCGGCCAATGGTGGTCCCACCAAACAGGTACACCGTCTCCGGGTGGTCTTCAAAGCGCGCCAGCACAGACAGCGTGCGCGGGCTGACAATGGTGTGATGCGCCAGCGTAATGCGGTCCCATTGCAGCGAGGTCATGTTGAGCATGTGGATGGTGTCGCTATCGGCGACCCCCGTCTTGCAGCGATTGGTGCTATCAGGCTCAAGCAACACACACCCGCCTGCCAAGCAGTCAGGTGGCAACACGCACACACACACATGAGCGCGCGAACAGGTGTGTGTGTGTGTGGATGTGTGTGTGGATAGGTTCGTGAGGGTATGCGTGGTTGTGTGTGCAGTTGTGTGTGCGCACGTGGTTGTGTGTGTGTGTGTGTGTGTGTGTGTGTGGTTGTGTGTTTGTGTGGTTATGTGCGTGTGCGCATGTGTGCGTGTGCGCATGTGTGCGTGTGCGCATGTGTGCGTGTGCGCGCGCATGTGTGTGACGTTGGATGAGGGAATGGAGAGAGCACCACAAAGGCAAAGGCAACAGAAAAGCAGCAGCGAGCGCGCATGTGCCATATGGTGCCATATGAAACAACGTACCCCAAATCAGCATGAGATAGTGGTTGCCGACTTTGACGTGCGTTGATGCTGCAAAGGTGCGGGGTGATGGTCCTTGGTTGCTGGGGTGGAGCTGTGTCCACGTGCAAGTCATCCCCGACAGCCGCAGTGTCCAGATGTCGTTAAAGTACTCATGGCGGTCTGTGCCACCAAAAAGGTATGCAGCGTCCTCAATGTCGCTGGCAGGCAGCCTGAACATGTTGTGTCCGAGGCGAGGCTGTGGCACCACCTCGGGATTGCATCGCAGCCAGTACTACAACGTCGCGTGTGTGTGTGTGTGTGTGTGTGTGTGTGTGTGTGTGTGCGTGCGTGCGTGTGTATGTGTGCGTGCGTGCGTATGTGCGTGTGTGTGTGTGTGTGTGTGTGTGTGTGTGTGTGTGTGTGTGTGTGCGTATGTGTATGTGTGTGTGTGTGCGTGGGTGTGTGCGTGGGTGTGTGCGTATGTAAGTGCGTGTGCGTGTGCGTATGTGAGTGCGTGTGCGTGTATGTGTGTGTGTGTGTGTAAGAAACGTGTCATGTCACATCACTTCACAAGCGATTATGAGCCATAGAGCACATGTCGCAGACAAATCCACTTCCCGGTCTGAAACCCGCGCACAACCGGATGATCTCGTTGGTCACACCTGTGGTTGATAGGTGCGGTAAAGCCAGGTGTCGGTGTTCAGGGTGACATTGCCGGAGGAGAGACCCAAGGTTTCGCCGCCAAACAGCACCACCACTTCCTCCGTGCGCTTTCCATGCGGGGCTGTGCGAACGCGCATCATGGTGCCAATCTCGGCGTCGGGGATGTCGCTGTCTTCTGGCGTGGGGTGTCGCAGCAACGTCGCTTGCCATAGTTGTGATGGATGTGGATATGGCGTGTCGTACTCGATGATCTCGAACGTGTTTCTGCTCACTTCTTGACCGCGGCAAACCAGCAAGAAAGCGGTCTGCAAGAGCACCAGTACCACCAGCACCACTGCGAGGGGCACACGCCTGATGATTGCCTGAACCATGGTTGGTGATGATGCGATGCGTCGGTGCATGTTCATTGGCTGAACCTCGCGACCGTTGAACAATGATATCATTGAAATTTCTGTTGTGTTCGCTGACGTCATTCGTTCCACTGTGTGTGTTTGAGTTGTTGACTGTCCAGGTCCACACGTGCACATGTGCTCATGTCTTCATGTGTCTGTGCTCATGTGTCTGTGTGTCTGTGTCTGTGTGTCTGTGTCTGTGTGTCTGTGTCTGTGTGTCTGTGCCTGTGTCTGTGTGTCTGTGCGTGCGTGTCTGTGTGTCTGTGTCTGTGTGTGTGTCTGTGCGTGCGTGTCTGTCAGTGTCTTCCATAGTGTGTGTGTGTGTTCTGGTGATGTAGCTCGCGAAATCCGTCCCCCCCCCCCTCCACCTCCACTGTCCCTACTAGCCTACTGTCCTACTGTCCATCTCCTTCCACCCACCCCTCAGTCCCTCCATCTCTCCTACCATACACAACTTGCAAAAAGATGGCTACTTAGCGATTTACTCCAAATCAATCACTTCGGGCCGATCAAAGCGGAAGCGAAGGCATCGATTAGGCGGTCAGCGCCCAAAATGCTCATACGAATGATTAAGCAATGTGGACACTCTTAACGGCAAAGTAGCTCACACTTACAAGCACATGACGACAGAACACACAACAAGGACGCAACACGAACGTAAATGGGAGGAGTGGAGTGGAGTTTGGAAGCGTGCAGGCGTGCATCATGACAAGGTCATTTCATGTCGCACTGCACTGAAAACCCGAACGAAGCGGGAAGCCCAACGGGACGAGGGAAGGGAAATGGAGAAAGGAAAGGAAAGACGGGAGGATGGAAGAGGAGGGGAGCTGGGAGAAGTGGAGGAAGGGGGGGAGAAAGAAAAGGAGAGAATGGCGTGAAAGGAGGGAGAGGAGGGGAAGAGAGAAAGGAAAGGAGCAAAGAAGGGAGGAGAAAGCGCGTGCGTTTGGTCGGAGGTTGCACGGGCGCCTGCAATCCTGTGATCAAGTGGAGGAGAACACCTGTAGTTCTGGTAGCAAGTGGTATTGGATGAAGAAGTACAGCAAGAGAGTTGGCTGTCAAGTCGAGTGAGTACAGTTAAGGGAGTACGAGTATGTGTGTGAATGATCTGTGCGTGTGGTGGAAAAGGTGTGAGAGTGTGGTGAGACCTGCACCATGAAGTAGCAGGTAGGAAGTGGAAGGAGTGAGTAGGACAGGATTGCAGACTGAGACTGACATGCAGAGATCCATGTCATCATCACCCATGACAAACAGACAACACAGTGCACGCGAGAGAAAGAGAGGAGCAGCAACACCAAAACAAAGGCAGCAAGCAGAGTACCAGTCGAGTGCAAAACGAGGTCACCGCTTACCAACCAAACCTTTGCGGTCAGTGCTTGGGCTGCTCGTCTCCATCCATGATCGAGTACAGCTGGGTCTGAATGGCCTCTGCAGTGGGGGAGGCCGGACGCTGCTGCTGAGCCGGTGTCTGGCACTCCTGCTGGTACTGCTGCTGCTGGTACTGTTGCTGCTGCTGCTGGTACTGAGCTGGTGCCTGGTACTGGTACTGCTGCTGGTGGTGGTGGTACTGAGCTGGTGCCTGGTACTGCTGGTATCGCTGCGGCTGCGGCTGGTGGTATCGCTGCGGCTGCGGCTGGTGGTATCGCTGCGGCTGCGGTTGGTGCCGCGGCGGCGGGGCGCCCTGCATCATGCCTGCGTTGGCGTGTGGCGGGAAGCCGTTGAAGCGGAGCTGGTGGAACTGCGCAGCCAACATGTACGGATCTGCGTCGACGTCACGGCTACCAACAGGCTCAGAGGAAGGCCGATGACCGGATCCACGGTGCGGCATGGCGTCACCAGCAGGGGCCCTCGTGACCGGGGACGTCGAAGTCGGCCCAGAGGACACGCTGCGCGATCCTTGACCGGCCTTGAAGATGATGCGTTCCCTGAAGGGGTCCAGGAAGTGGATGGTGATGTTTGCCCTGAAGCGCTCCTTGAGGTCGCGGAACTTGCCGGAGAGGCTCTGCTCCCACGACCACACGCGCACGCGCCAGCCGTGCTGGATGGCGCGTTCGGCCAGGCGCGGGAAGGACTCGTTGCCCTCCACCTCGTTGCCGTCACCCGTGACCAGCACCAGCGTTTGCGGGTTGGCGCCCGAGTTGGCCACCTCGACAATCTTGGCTGCAATGACGTTGTGCATGGAAGCGTCGCTGCGGTCCAGCAGCGTGCAGTAGTGGTTGTTCTCCCACTCGTGCCAGATGCGCCCCGAGTGCGGGTTTGTGCCGGCGACGGCGCGGAAGGCGCAGGGCATGTTGTCCTCGATAATCCCACACAGGCTGCGGATGTTGACGCGGACGGCGAGGTCGCGCACGCTGCTTTCAAGCTGGGCCCCGATGAAGACGTTGCTGTTGTCCACAAACACGTACGCAAGGCTGTGGGGCGGGGCAGACGCGACCCGGCCAGCCATGTGCGGGCTCGTGCGGAGGCCGACGCGGAGCGACTGGTCCCCCTGGGGCGCGGCGTAGTCTGCCTCAGGCGAGGGGTGGCGGGCACGCCAATCGGAGCCGGCGCGGCCATACCGGTCCTCCTTCTGCAGGGCACTGTGGCCGCTCGGGGCGCTGGCTGACGGCGGCACAGAGGAGCGCGCGTCGACCTGGGCCGGCGCGGCGGGCAAGTCCTCGAGCTTGACCGAGTCTGCCAGGCGCTGCAGGGCGTCGCGCGCATGCTGCACGCTGTCCTTGGTGCCCCTGACGAGGAGCTCCGCCAGGTTGTCGCCGCTGTTCAGATTCGAGCAGCACGTGATGTACGTGATGTTGGTGAGCAGCTGGAACTTCTGGAGCAGGGACTCGTGGTAGGTGATGATGCGCGCTGCGACAAGCGGCACTCGAATGGTGGCCTTGGTGGCCTTGACCGTGGTTGCCTTGATAGACAATGAGAGATGCTCGTGCAGGACGGAGAGCTTCTGCTGCTGCTGCTGATGATGATGTCGCTGGAGGTCTTGACGGGAAAAGAGGGGTGCGTTTGGAATCAAGGCCCTGGGACTGTACGAGGCTGAGGACGCTCTGGCCGCGTGCTGTTGCTGCCGTTGGTGGTGGTGGTGGTGGTGGTGGTGGTGGTGCTGCCGCTGCTGCTGCGGCGGTGGTTGCGCTTGGGAGTACGCAGGCGGAGCGTCGACTGACCACGGCGTCGACTGCGACGAAGGCTGAGCAGCGGACGTCTGCATGCCCTGGCCCCACGTGGCGGTGGGGTCATAGGCGTAGTCGACGGGGCCTGTCTCCGTACCATCAGCGTCCCAGTCATCCGTGGACGCGGGCTGCCTGACATGGTCCATCTTGGTCTTGGTGCGGCCTGGCCTTGCGGAAAGCTGCGTTCTTCTGGTCAGTTACAATTGCACGGGATGTTCAAACAGAGCCGGGGACGCGAAAATGAGACAAACTCACTGGTTGGCGTCACACTAATGCGCTGGCATTGTCGATGGCAAAGCCAACGCACACATACATGCACACACGCACACACACACACACACACCACAATCTTACAACCAACATCAACGCAAGCGTAAATACGAGCGCAAGAACGCCGCCACGCACGCATGTTCACAACCTTAAGCACACAAACACAAGTAGAACACCGCACCACTGCTGTCGCGAAAGCACTGTGTGCGTTGGTGACCATCATCATGAGTGTTTGAAAAGAAATCTTTGCTCTGTGTGTGTTGGCTGTCGAGGGGGCGGGGAAGCTGGGGTGACAGCAAATGTGCAGGTGCACGTGTCGACATGTCGACTGGAGAAAAGGCGGCAGCAAAGCAGTAGCAAAGGAGCTGGTCCATCTGTCGACATGTCGACTTGTCGACGCGAAAGATCCCACCTGTGCGCAAGTGCATACACACACAAGTACGAGTCATGTCAGCTGTCGCGTGGGCGTGTCGTGACGTCATCCTGGTTGATGGTGGTCGAAGATTCTGCACATTTACAACTAATTTTCCGTGTAACCGTGTCCTCTCGACACAACCCGGACATATCCACGTACGCACACACACACACACACACACACACACACACACACAACACACACACACACACAACAACACACACACACACACACACAGAGAGAGAGAGAGAGAGAGAGAGAGAGAGAGAGAGAGAGAGAGAGAGAGAGAGAGAGAGAGAGAGACAGACACACACACACACACACTCTCTCTCTTACTCTTACGCAGCCACACCGTAACTCGTTTATTTCAGATACCAATGGACAAAAAAAAGCGAAAGTGTGGTCACCACGGTGCCCATCTGACTGCTGCAATCACACGATGTGCCTGTCATGCTAGCTGTGACTGCCGCACGAGGTGTTGAAACAAGGAGGTTGCCCCAAACTCAGACGGGGCACGCACATCTACCAGCTCTCCCCCTTGCATCACCATCACAAGATCAAAGCGGGAAACGTGGGCTAGGCGGTGACAAATCGAGAACACCGTGTTGTCCAGAGACAATATAATGTCATGGATCGCCTACAGTGCGATGTGTATGTGTGTGCGCGCGTGCGTGCGTGTGTGCATGTGTGCGAGTGAGCAAGGCAACAGCAAAACAAGGCAGGATGAGCTCACAGCGTTAATGACAAACAAGAAAACATCTCCATCAACGACACCTGAATTGGGTAGTCCCTCTCACTCTCACCAACACTCTCATGCACGCACACTCACTCACACAAACACAAGCACACATGCACATACACAAAATGTAACCAAACATATCCATGTGTGCTATCTACTGACATTGTCGGTCTCGGCGTCCACGCTGGATGTGATTTCGTCGCACAACAGGACAGGTGTTGGCCGAAACAAGGCGCGTGCAAGCGACAGCAGCTGTCGCTGCCCCGCGCTCATCGTCACAGGCACTGGACCACCATGATCATACGAATGCGACAACGCCCCTTGCAATGGTTGTTGTTGTTGTTGTTGTTGTTGTTGTTGTTGTTGTTGTTGTTGTTGTCGCACATGTGCGTCCAACAATGGTGTACGTTCAGAGTCGCTTTCATCTTCTTCGTCGCTTGCCTGAATACCGCTGTGTTCCTCGACTACGTGTCTGTTATCGTTGCTATTTCCATGCATCACCTCAACTGTCCCGCTTATGCGGCTTCTCTCTGCCTTCAGCCAACCACACCCGCCACCAAACCTACATCTACCCTTCGCCTCAGCGCCACCACCAACATTGCCGCTATCTTCAACATCGTCGCTGTTGTCGTCATCCCCTCCCGCCATTGGTGTGTCCAGCCCCAGTGGCAGCGCCGCCACAAACGCCTTCAGTCCCACTGCCTCCAGCACTTTCCACACCGCCGCGTCTGCAGCCCCACATGCCGTGTCGTCTCCAATGTCGCAACTCTCAACCGCGTCTCTCCAGTCGGTGATCAGGACTCCCGCGCCACCATCACCACGACCACGGTTGCGGCGACGACGTGGGCTGTGCCGCGCTGGGGGCGGTACCTCTGATGCTGGACCCGCAATGGTCTCACGGATGGTGTCACCAAAGAGTGATGGTACTTGCGGCACCAGCGTCACCAAGCCCGACCGCAGCTCAGCAACAGTCACGTCTGAGGTTGTGTGACGTGAGATTATGTGTGCGTGTGCGTGTGCGTGTGTGTTTGTTTGTTTGTGCGTGCGCGTGTGTGTGAATGTGTGTGTAAATTGTTGGGAGGTGTTGGTGAGATAGGTGGGTCCGTGCTTTCACGCGATCCATCTTAGCGAGTGCATTCGCACAGGTAAACAGATGCACACGACTATAACACACACACACACGCACACACACACACACACACACACACACACACACACACACACACACACACACGACTATAACCCCCCCACACACATCGTCTCTCCGACGCACCTGCAATGTCGATGCCTGAGATGGTGATTTTGCCGGCAAATGGGTACATGCGCAGGAGGGCGAGAAAAAGCGTTGATTTGCCAGCGCCGCTCGGGCCAACAACGGCGACTTTTGAGCCAGCGGGAATGAAGCAGGACACACCACGCAGCACAGGCTGGGCTTGGGGCGCATAGCTCAGCGTCACATTCTTCATCTGAAACGCACACACACACACGCACACACACACATACACACATCCGCGCGAGCACGCAGGGCAAGAAGCCACGAAGATGTGAGGCAGGACACATCTGGTACCGCGATCAAAGTCTTCATACACATGCACACGTACGCAAGCAAATACATTGAGAATGAGACGCGGGGGACCGCTCTTGCCACTCACCATCACAGCGCCTTCGGTGTTGATATCAGCGATGTGGGGTTTCACGATGCGTGTTGATGATTGTGGTGCTGATGTTGATGAGGATGAAGATGAAGATGAGGTTGCAGTCGTTCGATTGAGGCCATCACGAACGCGGCGGTTGCCATCATCACCGTCATCACCAAATGCACATGCACCAGCCAGCACTGCGGTATCATCGTCATCGTCATCATCGTCATCATCAGGCACGGTCCACACATCTGACGTTGCGTTGTGCGCGTACTCGAAGCACCGCTCAATGGCAACAGCTTCCACCTGCAAGTGTGAGTGTGAGTGTGAGTGTGAGTGTGAGTGTGAGTGTGTGTATGAGAGATCGCATGCGCGTGTATTGCACACGAATAGATGATCGGGACCAAGGTTACCCCGCAAACAACACCCACAAGCGTCCACAGACACACACACACACACACACACACACACACACAACGAGTATACACACGAACTGCTGAGCCCGTGTGTGTTGGGTTTTCTGCCGTACCTCTGCCTGAGAAGTCTCCTTGAGAAACCAGCCAATCATCCCTGGGAGCTGTACCACATAGGTCAATGCAAGTCCCGCTTGGCCTGTTTGTGGTATGCATTGATGGTGCAGAAGAAATGGTTGAGCTTTGAGTCAACGAGCAAAGGCTGTCAACAACACGAACACATCACACAGAAGCACACAACGTACACACAACGTCTAATGTGAATGTGCAATCACACAAGCAAACGCGATCATGCACACACACACACCATACACACACCATGCGCACACACCACATGCATATGTGCACGTGGCACCTGCTTACCTGAGGTGATGAATCCGGAGCGCTGGCCGTAAACTGTCAAGACAGAGCAAGCGAGAACAATGATGGCGCCGATAAACTCCAGCCACACCGTCACCCATTGCGTTGCGGCCAGGCTGTGCCATGCGTACTTGTTGATGTCATCAAGCAGCACGAAGAAGCGGCGCATGAAGCGAGATCGCTGGTGGTGTGTGCGCACAACTGTGATGCCTGTGATGCACTCGTGCAAAAACGTGAGCAGCGGCGAGCGTGCCGCGCTCTGCATTCGTCGAAGGTCGCGCGCAGACCAGCTGACGCCGTGATTGCGGTTGCAGTGATTTGAGGGGGTCGTGGCAGGTGTGATGTGGAAAGTGGTGGCAAGTGTGGTGGAAGTGATGGTGGCAGTGAAGGTGGCAGGTGTGGTGGCAGTGAGCTGCTTGATAAGAACATGTACCGAAACGCACTTTGAACGCAAACACCCACAGCACATCATGGTTCATTCATACACACACACACATGCACGCACACACACACACACACACACACACACACACACACACACACACACACACCCTGCACGCCAAGCGTGGTGCATCAAGGCCGGCTCACCGAAAGTACTGGGCGATTACAAACGTCGGAACGACGATGACAACAAGCGCAACGAGCACATACGGGGTGACCCACGCCACGATGATCAAGGTAGCGACGAGTGTCAGCGACGTCTGCGTGAGGTAATTGAGAACAGACGGAATGCTCTCGTCAACCGTCGCCATGTCCTTGACAAAGCGGTTCAGCACGCGGCTCAACGGCCGTGTGTCGAAGAACGAGCACGGCAGCGCAAGTACAGAGCTGAGCAGGTGCGCGTGCAGCTGCTTGGCTGCATGAACAACGCCAATCACAAACAGCCAGTTGCGTGTGAGCGTGACCAACGACGTCGCTGCCCCGATGCCAAGATAAACGTACACGTAGAAGGACCCCGAGTGCGTGCTGCTGTCGTCGTTCACCCAGACGGACAGCCACCAGTTGTTGACCACGTTGGACGCAGGAAAGCAAAGCATGGCGGCCACAAGCGCACACACGTACGCCGGTGACCCGAACCCACGCAGGTACTCTTTGATGGCTGGCCAGGACACGGCACCGCCACCAACGCCCTCATCTCCATCAAAGTCATCAGGGATGCCGGCAGCGTCAATGAGTTCAAACGCTTCAAGCGACTCCACATTCAGCACCGTGCTGCTTCGGGACCGTGAAATGGTCTCGGACACGCGTGTGCTGCTGCTGCTGGGCCGTGACAGTGACGGGTGGCCGCTGTGCTGCGAGCTGTAGCGAGATGGTGTTGTGCTTTGTGGTCGGGTCGCGTGGTGGCTGCTGTTGCTGCTGCTACTGTTGGCGTTGCTGGTGAGGCTGTTGTTTGTGGCAACCGTGCTGTCATGTACCACGATGGACGGTACCGGTGTTTGCAGGGTGCGTGCAAGCACAGCTGCAGAGGACATGGGCGCCTCGCTTGTTGTTGCCGTGGGTGTTGTTGAGAAGGATGGGGAAGTCGAGAGCACGTGCTCAACGGACGAAACGGTCTGCGCTTGATGCATGGGGTCCGCTGTCAATGCAGCACCAAGGGTGGAAATGGTTGCTGCTGCTGGAGTGGTGGCAAAGCAGCGGCCCTGCGCAACCGTAAACACACGGCTCACATGCTCGCTGGTGATGATGGCTGGGTTGTGTGTGATGAGAATGCGGGTTGCCTTCTTCAGCAGTCCGCACAGGCACCGCTCAAAGATGTAGGTGCTTGTTGCTGCATCCAAGCTCGCAAGGACATCATCCAACAGCACAATGTCGGGCCGTGCGTACACGGCACGCGCGAGGGCAACACGTTGTCGCTGCCCACCGCTGATGTTGGAGCCGTCGTCCTCTAGCACCGTCGCATCGCCCTGCGGCAGTGAGGCCAGGTCACCCGCTACGCAGCGTAATTTTTTTTTTTTGGCGGGGGGAAGCGGGGGAGGAGAAGAGGGTGAAAAGGGAGCGGGTTGTTTGGGGAGAAAGGGTAGGGTTGGTGTCGTGAGGAACGTGGGGTGTGAGACTGGAGCAAGGCATTGCCAGCAACCGCACCAAGAGCGCATACATGCATCGTGGCCATTGCATAGCGCACACAAATCTTCAACACAGACTTACACATACACACACACTCACATACATACACATACATACACACATACACACACGCACATACATACATACATACATACATACATACATACATACATACATACATACATACATACATACATACATACATACATACATACATACATACATACATACACACACGCGCGCGCCAACCGTTCAAGGCCACAAGCACAAAACAATACTGCACAGACGTGCAAGTTCACGCGAGAGATCCAAGGTGTTTACCGAGCCCACATGCTGCGATGACCTGCTGGTACCACCCGTGGCGGAAGGATTGCCCAAACACAATGTTGTCACGGATTGAGACGGATTGCAGCCAGGGCTGTTGCGGGACAACAGCAACTTTTCCGCGCACGTGCACGCGGCCTGTCCGGATAAACAAATCTTGCGTCACGGCGGCGAGAATGGACGACTTTCCACCACCAAGAGGGCCCGTAATCACAACCAGCTCGCCAGCGTACACCTGTAGACAACAACAACAACAAAATATGGTGAGCGCGAATACCACCGCGAATGAAGGAAGTACAAAACACATATGCGTGCATGCATGCATGCAAAACAAAACACAACGTGCGCTGCTACCTCCATCGACACGTGCTGCAGGACGGAGTCAGCTGTTGGCTGTGCGGACCATGATGCCGTGATGCTGTCGAGGACCAAACACGGCCCTGTTCGCGGCAGGAGCGACACCTGCTGCTGCTGCTGCTGCTGCTGCTGCTGCCGACGGCGGCGGTGGCGGTGATAGCGATGGCGGTGGTCGTGGTCACGGATCCTGTCACTGGGGCTGTTGTTGGAGACAGTGGCACCTCGCGTTGGCGTCATTTCGTCACCACCACCACCACCACCATTGCTGTCATCACTCACAAGGGTAGTAGCAGCATTGCTACCGTAGCTGCTGCCGTGTGGTTGTTGCTGTTGTCGTGGCTGCATTGGCTGTCGGTGCTGCTGCTGCAAGCGTGTTGTTGTCGTTGTCGTCGTTGTCGTTGTTGTTGTTGGTGGTGGTGGCAGGATACTGCGCTGCTGCCGGCGGAGAGGCGATGGTGGTCGCTGGCCAGCACGCGTGCGACGCCCGGGCCGCATCGCCAGGTCCTCGTGTGTCTGCACGTGGTGGTGAGCAGAGCGAGGGGTGCATGGTGGAAACGAGAAGGGGTTGCAGCACCAGGAACCAGATGTGAGTTTGTGTGCAAAGCACTAGGAGCAATGGAGATTACGTCACAGGCGCGTGTCACCAAGGCGCAACATAAGGTCTAATGCACGGTGCACAATACTCAGTGTCGTGCTCGTTGCACACACGCACACACTCTCGCACGCTCTTGCACATTCGCACACACACACACACACACACAACGCAACGCACACACACACACACACACACACACACACGCACACACACGCACAAACAAAGCAAACGCAAACGCAAACGCACTGGGTGGCTGAGGACGGAGGCGATGCGACGCCAGCTGACGACGACGTCCATGGTGTTGGTGATGGCGTTGGGGAGAAAGGCCATGGGCCGGCGCAGCAAGTTGTACCAGGTGAGGCAGGCAAACGCCGTTGACGCCTGCAGCGCAGTGTCTTTGTTGAGGAACGCAAAGGCAAGGAAGCTGAGGCAGGGCGCCAGGGTGCGACCGCTCACGACGACAAAGTTGAGGACAGCAGCGGCGAGCTGTTTGCGCTTCTGAAACGCCACTTCGCGATCCCGCACGCGCGTCACCGTTTGGGAGACCCACGTCTCCCAGCAGTACGCCTTGATCACTCGCATCATGCCCAGCGCAGACTGCAACATGCGTGCGCGCTTGTCGCGTAGCTGCTGCACGGACGCGCTATGTCGCTTGACCACGCGTGCGACGAGGGAGGCCACAGGCCACGTGACGACAAACATACCCAGCCCACAGAGCGCAGCCACGCCCAGGTACGTCGTGAGGAAGTAGAGGGCAACGCTCAAGATGAGCGCCGAGC